ATAGTATCTTTTAACCTGTTTCATTTTCAACTATAGTTATTGTAGTGCCTGGTCTTGTTGCTCTTACACATTTCTTGCAGTAGCAGAAACTCCATTGAGTTTTCAGTCTTAACAACAGACTTAGAGCAGCATTTTACAGTCCATCTCTTCACCTGTAAAACAGAAGTTCATTTCTCACTGGCATCCTATTCTGAGGTAGCTTTTACAACTGTAATAAAATAATAACTTTGGGTAAAATTCCCTTACTATTTCACTAGCAGCCAAATATAAGGCCTACCAAATATTATAAATAAAAGGATAAATTTGGAATTGGCAAGCTTGCCAAAGAAAACATTACCTCAACAGGGCCATGAATTTTAAACTGAAATGTAACAGCAGTGAATATAACCCCAACACATGGAAAAACAAACCCCTTTTTTCTTGTCTAGATGTTTGGTACATTCTACCTAAAATGCCATTACTGTAAAAAGTGGAAACATTCTCTGTATCAGCCATCTAACAACATCAAGGGTTCTACACTTTTAAATTAACCTTTTTCTTTACCTTATGGAGGCACAACTCCATTAACAGGGTCTCCAGTCATACCACAATTCATTTCTCCAACTTCTCATGCCCTAAACCTTGAGCTCCTGCCCTATTCTGAAGCCTTGTCCAGGGCTTGGAGTGCCATGATGGGCTTCCTTTGGGACCCCAGGACTCCCACTGAAATAGCCAAACCATCTGCACCTCCCGGAGGGCTTCACCTGCAAGAGAAGGACATGGGTCCCAAACCTCTTATGAATGAGACTTTTAGATTTTTTTAATAAAGTGCAAGACCAGATGATTCAAGTGTGGCTTTAGTTCCTAGTGCAGCAGTTTTGCAAGGCTAAGGATGTAACAGACAGGCTAGTTTTCTGCTCAGGGAGACTGAGTCCACATTGCCACTTAATGCAAAAAATTGCTATACCTGCCTGGTGCCGAATTTCCTCCTCTGTCAAACAGCCTGAGCAATTATGTTGAAATCTGACCCTAATTACTAAACCATAAACCATTCCACCCTGCTTTGCTCTCCCTAAGGGCCAAGAGTCCTCTGACATTACCCACATTTTCTTCCTTTACTTCTCGTGTGCTCTCCCCATGACTGAGTTGATACTTAAGTTCAGTTGAGACTTTGATTTTTTCCACATTCGGCACTGAGCTCCGTATTAGCATTGACTTCAAGTCAGTAACTTGAGCTTTGACCGAAGCAACTTGCGTGGAAGAAAAGCTCCCGGGGGCCAGCTCCCCTCACAAAGTGAAACAGCACGAAAACACTGACTGCTTTTGCAAAACCTTACAATGATTTTATAAAGTACTACCATTCCAACAGTTGTATCTGTTGCATATAAATGAGACAATTAAAATGTGTTAAATTGTTTTAGAACCATCAAGTGACAAGCCTTTTAAATTAAAGATATGGTGAACCTAGCTACCTTCAACACTAATGACAAGGATGATATAACGGGCTATTTTTTGGCTGTAAAATTGGGAACTATGGAAGTGTGGTTGAAATTATCATACTTGAGTACTGAAGTCATGTACTGATGAATATGTGCTGTACCAAATAATAAGAATTCTTTCTCCCAGGCAGTTAAACACATTTGCAAATATTCAAGGGGGTTTTGCCCCTGGCAATTTCAGAAAGTTAGTTTTAGCATTTTGCATAGTCTCTATACTAAATACCACTCCTAGAACAAAAGTGTTTGTATATTGTATATAAATCATTTTGGTCTGCATGTTCTTTAGCCTATTTTCATTTTAAACTATTATTAAGAAGTAATGCTAGACACACACCGTCTGAAACATATTTGGTCTATAGTATTTCACAAGGGAAAATTAGATTCATATTTTCTTTTAAATCACTTATGCTCCTGTGATTACATGGGCTGCGTATGGTGACATACATTTTTCCAGACAAACGTCTGGATCTATAACATGCATCTGCTGAGGATTGTCTTCAATCATGTGAGCTCTGTACAAACAAAACGTGTTGTTCTTGGTCTTAAATTCTCCTGCATGGTGTGTCACTCAAAACAGATTTTGATACTGCTGCAACGTGATATATTCATGTCTGTCATATAACTAAGACTTTTTTTTTCCCCCTGCGGTTGTCAGCAAACTTCTGACTGAATTTTGTCAAATTTCAAGACAGAAACTATGTAACAAAATAAATGGGGTTAGTTCTCAGAAAGAGCATCAAAGAAAGGGAAGAAGTTACAAAGTCTTTCATCAAGACATTTTCCTTCAGCGGCAAGCCTTCAAGTTACAGAAAAAAAAAACCCTGCAAAGGCTACTCTATATTTTCTAAGAGCATAAAGCTTTAAAAATAATTTTTGGGGAAAGTTACATAGCCTTTAACAATTTCATATTTCATTGATAAAGTGCTCCACCTGGCAGGAAAAAATGAAAGGCTGATAAAAAGAAATGGGCCAACTTCCACTCTCATATTTCTGAAGCCTCAGTAGTAAGATGATGATTTATCCTAGCAGAGACCTCTTGGTTAGTGTCTTCAACTGATCTTTGCATTCAGCAAAGTACTGCTGCTGGAAAGCTGTCATTCTCCTAAATACTACACTGGGCCAGGTGTCCCTTGGACACTTAAGTTTCTAGCTTGAATCTAGGACTGCTGAAATAAGCCTTCTTTGCTGGGATTGGGGAACACTACTAAATTACTACTTCCTCATAATTTTACAATATTTTCATGTTCAAAGATGGAATGACTCTTTTGTACTGTGATTTCACAGCTTCAATGTGTACTGTCTGGCATGCTGGCTGGCTGTTTTAACATGTTTTCTCTTTTCCCTTTCATTATAAAGACCAACTTGGCAAGTGCAAGACAAAGTAGATGCTAACAACGTGGCTTATACAACCGGGAAACTATGTTTTCACACTGATTACCCTGCTCTGCAGTATCCACCTGGGGTAAGGTGAATCTACCAAGGGGAAAGGGAAATGTTCCTATAGTGTGAAATATGGCTAGCGTTCAGTGACTCCGAATTTTGTCTTTAAAGGAGCAGTGTGAAAATAACAATCTGTTACTCATAGGTATGCAATATATACATTATGATGTAAGTTCTGCATAACAAGCCCACTATTTATGCTATGATTTTTAAATGAAAACTCACAAAGTATTGAGAATATTACCATATGAGAAAGCATTAGGGTCCTGTATGTGCTTTTGATGCTGCTTACATTATATTGAAGAAGTTGGGTGTCTACAGGCTGTAGTCAAGTTGTGACAGCTTAGGACACGTCTGTTCACCTCAGGAGGAGAACGTATTAGAAGAAATATGATTAAGATGTTGTATTCTGTTTTCTATAAATTGATTGAAATTAGACCCTTATCTGCCCTTTCATAATTAGACAAAAAAGGGGCATTTTCTAAAGCTGGATAACAACCACAGAAAATACATTTTCACTTAGTCCCTGTCATATCAAAGCCTAATCCGCATAACTCACCGGAGAACCTAAATGTAGTAGGAACAGTACAAAGGAACAAAGGTAACCCTGGGAAAGTTTGCATCTATAAGCTTCATACCTACAACTTCCTCTTCTCATGTTGTAGAGTACTTTCTACCAGTTTTTTCTATAATTAAACAAAAAACCAATGTGATTTACCCACAAGTAAGTGCCAAATACTTCACACTAACATCACCTATTAAAATCATTTAGATGCTGTTCATTAATGTAGAGTAAGGGTGGAATAGGGCTTAATTAATTGATTTCAGTTTCCCCTTTCATCACCATCATCAAGGTCTGTGGGTCTGGCTGGTGGGGAGATTCTGGGACAAACCCTGTTCTCTGCTTCTTTTTCTCCTCTTTTTTTTTTTTTTTTTTTTTTTCTTCTTCTTCTAGTGGTCTCAGAAATAATTCACTGTCATGGAAAGGAAAGGTGAATGCTGATACCATTGGTATGACAGATGTATTTTGTGTAGTTTGGCCGAGATGAACAGTTACACTTTGTGTGATGCTGGGCTCTCTAATGCCACGGGGAGTCTTACTGCCTGTGTCAGCAGCTCAGATTTACACTGGTGCAACCAAGAGCCCAGGTTAGACTTTCTGCTCCATCTCACGCCTTGGCAATTTCACTGTGAAGTGAAATGAAACTGTCTTAAACCTACTTTATGATAGAGACACTGGGCCTGTTGCCTTCTACGAGAGCCACCTTCTCCCCTCTGTGAGCCGATAATTCACAGTAGGTTTTGTTTCTGCAAGACAAAATTAATCCTCCTGTTGAGATAAGACTGCAATGCATTTAAAATTATATGACTGCCGCAAAGAGGCACTGCAAGGAAAGAAGTGAGACCAGAGCTTTGCAGTTGACTCACAGGTTGCAAGTGTTAGAAGGTATCCCAAATGGGATGGATTTATGAACATGCTACTTCAATTTTCTGCCTGTGTGATAGTGACGGCAAAGTGCTGTGAAGCTGTAGTAATGGGAACTCAGGCTTTTGCTGGGGTGGGGGGGAAAAATCCCAAAACAAAAAAACAGAACCACAGATATGAGGGAATGGATACTAATGAACTGTTAAATATGCAGGCTAATTCTTCTCACAATGAGATGTTAATTCATTCCAGGTTCAGCTTCTCCACTGTATAAAGCAAACAGCTGCAGGAGGTGAAAGTGAAGTTGTAGATGGATTTCACGTATCCAACAAGCTGAAGAAACAAAATCCTCAAGCGTATCAGATCCTGTCCTCTACTGCTGTAGACTATACAGATGTTGGGGTGGACTACTGTGATTTTGCTGTGCAATGTAAACAGAGGATTATAGAGTGAGTAGTTTCAACAACAGCGAAAAACAAAATCCCTGTTGTATGGTGGAGTACGTGTTGGCAGGAGAAGGTCTGCTCCTGCCACCTCGTGGTGAAACACTGGTTTGACTCAGTCTGTAGTTACTTTCGGGTTTTTTTTGTTGTTTGGGTTTTTTGCCAGTGTATTACTTGTTTTTGCTTTGTACCACCACAGCATAATTTTCCTTATTTGATTTTGCCACATGCTAGCAAGCAGTGGTGGTAATTAGAGGAACTCCTAGGTACAGACACAGGTTAACAGCAGCTGGGTCTGTTACTAAATTCCAGCCAATGTACATCCATATCATGTCAAAGAGAGATCATAATTTGAAGTATTTAGATTAAGAACTATATATTATAAAAAGATCAAATGCAAATTATCATAATCTCTTCTAAATTTAAAGAGTTTACAACTCTACAATTAAAGTGTGTAGAATATAGATGTTTGAGGAAATCAAGTGTCTCCACTTTTGTCCTGATTATCCCTTTTCCTACTTAGGCTTAATTATCAAAATCCAAACCAATAACAAGCTGAATTTCTCTATAGAAACATACTGAAATTCCAGCTGGAGAGTTCAGTTGCTGTTTAACCATCTTAAAATGTTTCAGTAACAACATAATACATTCCTTTTCCTTTCCTTCTCTGTTTCATAGCGTGGATTCCAGAGGCCAAGCAGTTCGCATCAATTATAATAATGCAACAAGAGACACAGTGTTTGACATACCAGCTGAAAAAGTGAGGCCATTTTATGCAGCTCTAAAGGAATTTGATGATTTATTAAACAGTCCAGAACACAAGTTTACTTACAAGCTGAAACCAGGTCAGCAAGTTGCATCTCCTCGCAATGATTTTTCACAGGTTTTTCCTAACAGTCAGAACACTTTAGCATTGTTAGCACTGGTACCGAAAGGAAATTTCAGTCCTTTTATCACCTATTTTATTTCATATTGCATCCTGACATTTGTCTCATAGATTTATTTTGCCTTTGTTACACTAAAAAGAAAAAAAAAAAAAAGCAGGGGGTAATAGAGTCTATCTATTGATTAATCCAATGTATCTTTATATTACATCAAAACCCCATACCATATAGGAAATTGTAAGTTGTCATATCGATAGCACCACCGACGGGAAATATCATGCGTAAGACTGCGGTGCCATCCCAGTTCAGTGTCTGTTCACTAAATGATACACAATCACATACTTTTTCCTCTGCTTCATTTGATGCAGAGTACAGACGTTAAGCCAAATGATACATCTTTCTTTATGACACTTTAATTTGTTAGTGGGGCACCTTCCCAATGGCTGCAGGAGTGGCAGAACATCTAGAAGATGATACAGTTGCATAATACACATAACGCTGAAGGAAGCTGAGCGGCACCGTGGGGAATTCAGTCGTTCATCTTTGCTTACCAGTGTAGACACCACCAGAATGCCAGCGTAATGCTGGGTGAATTACCAAAGGCCACTGCTGCTGTGCTGCTTTTTTGGGTGGCCTACGCAAGACATCTGGAGGCAGATTTGCAGAAGTGCTAAGTGCTCTAAACTTCAGATAGAGTTGTACAGGGCTGCATTTTGAACATAAAATATGCTGTAAAAATGCCCTTTATTCTTTAAAAGTCAGTCTATGCATATTTTAACTACTTTGGCCTTAATCTCTGTTCTTTTATTTCCCAGCTATAAAATAAAGATATGAATAGTCCCTCATCTCTCGAGAGATGTTACAAAAGTAAATTCATTAGTGTATCTGACTGCCTCAGGTACTGTGATGCTAGTGTCTTTAAAATGTCTATGAGAAAATGAATCTCTCTCTATTGGGAACATGCAATAAAATCATTTATAAGATCACATAATAAACGGTAAAAAAAAAGTGCCTCACATTACATTAGTACCATCCATCCAATCAATTAACACACCAAAACAGTGGTAGAAGGGAGGGGGAGAAGGAAAGAAAGACTATAAGGTTATTTAATTAGAAATTTATCATAATGGTGTCACACAAGGGAGAAAAATTAAAATGGCATTCTAGCCTTAATTATGTGATTTCCTAACTTTCAATGGCTTGACTTTGTTCTCATAAAATTCTCTTACCAGGGATAGTAATGCAGGATGTGTGTAGCACAAATAGTACCAAATTGATCAAATAAAAAGCATCCTAGTGGCTTTCACCCTTTTTATCATTCCTGTGGATTTTCTGTAGTCCTTTCCCCTCAAGTCTGCTTTTCTCAGCATGAACTCCCCTGCCGCTCTGCTTTTTAACTCCTGGTTATACAAGAAAAGAAGTAGAGGTCTAAGGGACCTGCCCTCTCTGGTTGAGAATGACCAGCTCAATTAAAATTACTGTGTCGTTGCTGTGTATCTCCAGCCGAGCTACTTCAAATTATTGCCTCCTAACTGTTGATATAAATCTACCTCCATGTTACCTGTTTGAAGGAATCAACTATAATATACCAAATATTAAACATTGTGCAATCTCTTTATAGGAGACATAGTGACGTTTGATAACTGGCGCGTGCTTCATGGGCGCCAAAGCTACCAGTCGGGATCAGAAGTGACTCGTCACCTGGAAGGTGCCTATGCAGACTGGGACGTGGTCATGTCAAGGCTCCGGCTCCTCAGGAAGAGCATCCTGAATAGGGACTGAGCTTTCTTCTAACGAGAACAAGCAAAACCTGGATTGTCGAACCTAAAAAAAAAAAAAAAAATTGTCTTTTCTTTTCAGAAACTAACATCACAAATATATTTTTGAGTTCCATAAGCTAAGAAACCTGTTGTTAATAACAATTTAAGATTTATCTGTGCCCTGGAGTTTGAATCTATAAAATCCATTGCTACCTCTGTCAGTTTATTTGCTGTTTAAAATCAGTGGGCAAAATGTCTTGCAAGATTATCACTTTAATGGGCTGACTGGGTATCACAATACCTTAATTTTCCTCTATAAATATACCTTCCCTCCCTAGAAAGCTTGGAAGGGAGCATCAAAATAGAGTTTATAAGTATTACTAAAGATTTATTATGAACAGTACCTTCCTCTATTTTCAGAGGGGCATTCTTTATTGCAGATATCATAACTAAAATTCGTTATCAAAATAAGCAACCACTGCTGCAGAGTTATTTTTATATACACACCTTTCTAGGTAGAACTCCACTTTAATACAAGATCTCGTTCAACTATTCTGTATATCCCACTGTACATGTGATGACTATCACAGCCACAAATAGTTTTTACTACATTTCTAAGTCCATAAGCTCAGAAACCACAGAGCTACCAGAGAAGGCGTATTAATTTTCCTCTGCATTAGGAACAGAAATAAATCTCAGTGCAGAGGTGGCAGACAGGGTCAGAAATCCCATCAGATGCTGTGCACAGATATAATTAAGATCTGCAGGGCAGACAGGTGTTTGAGTAAAGTCAGGAAGAGGAATGAATGCTGATGCTGCTTTGTGGCTAGAAATCACAAAGCACAAGAGGTGGTTAGTGACTCCACACCTGACAGAGAAGTGGCGCCTGGACTCAGATCCATTTTTGTTACACCAAATACCAAATATCTGCAGGATATTTTCCTCTAGGCTGCATTCTGAATAGAGATCATGCTATGTAAAAATTACTGCAGCTGAAGTAGTGGGTTTCCCCCTACATTCAGATGCTAAATTGAAAGAGAAAGATTTTTAAAATACTTGGCTTTATACCCAACAATATGTCCACTGAGTTTATTCTTCACTGTCCTTATAGCTGCAGAGTTAACAGGACGCCCTCTCACCCATGCTGCGAGACTGACAAAATAACCACACATCCACCCTCGGATAGTCTCTGTTCAACTGTTTATTTTCAAACTATTCCTTGAAAGTCAAATAAATCCTAGCCTCTTTCTAGTAGGCTAAAACTGTAGAACTACAACTACAGAATTAAATAACTGTAGAATTAAATTTGTTGACAGAAAAAATCCCAACATAAGTGAGAACTCTAACATAAGCTTGCAAACACTTCCATAGCTTCTACTCGTCATTAACAGTCAACAGATATCTCAGCTGAATAATCAAATAAAACTAAATTAGGATTTGGTCATGACCTAGCATAGTGTGGTTCAAATCCATTCCTCTTTAGTAAGTACTGAAAAGTTTTTATCAAAGTTTTGACATTAAGACATAGCATAACAGAACTGGCTTTTAGTGGTGATTTGATTTCTGAGTGCCTCCTTTAATAATTAATTTTGGAAACATGAGGAAATTATTTTTTGCCTTTGCTATAAAAGGGGGAAAAGATGAGGAAAGGTTAATACCTATATTCTGTAAGACACCAGCAGTACTGTGCTTTAACTGTGATATTTTCTGTTTAACGATTTAGTGAAGATTGCAACTTATAACTTATAACTTGTTATAAAACAAGACATCTTGGGATTTATACCAATGGTTAACAGGGAAGAGATATTTTCTGCTCTTATTCTGTACTTTTCTAAAAACCATTTTATGCAAATTTCTGTTTATTAAAAGCTGTCTGTTTAACGCTTTAGTGAAGATTGCAACTTATAACTTTAAAACAAGACATCTTGGGATTTATACCAATGGTTAATAGGGAAGAGATATTTTCTGCTCTTATTCTGTACTTTTCTAAAAACCATTTTATGCAAATTTCTGTTTATTAAAAGCTGTCATGGAACTGATTACTGTTTTGGGCTCATACCTAATCTCACACATCTTGCATGCAGATATGAAGTCATTATTGTTATTTACAAATGTTTGTAAATGTGATTAGACCTAGATCCATCCAGGTTTGTCCCGTATACTTAATATAGAGTTATAATACAACTAAACCCATAGCTTTGAACAGCTTTGGGGAAAATAAAAAACAAAAACCAAATTAATCAAGGCTCTCAATGGATCTAATTTTACACTGCTGGGATTTTTTGTCAGCGAAGCGTGCCCTATTAAAAACTCACACAAGGGATCCCTGAAGTTCACACTTTATGCCTGCGATATGTTGTACTTACATACCCACACCTCCTTGAACTGTCCACATTTCTCCAAAATATGTACTCTCAATGTTAAATAAATAACATAATAATAATTAAAAAAGAGAGGCAGCTTTGCAGATCGCAGGCGTATGCCACATACACAGAGGAGATGAGCGCGTGTAGGAGTGTGGTGGCTCCAGGTTCCCAACAGCACAATCGCTCTGCTTGAGTGCAATTTGCAGTGTATAAATCCTTAAATATATAAACAAAATTCAAGCTACTATATACTCAACACAGTAGTTCATGCAGAATAGAGTACAAATAATGATAAAAACTGTTCATCAGCGGAAATGCGAAGTCCTGCACAAACAGAATCTAATGCCTGCAACGCCTCCATGAGCGATGGCACGCTATCCAGTTTAACTGGGAAAGGGTCAGACTACCCACCCAAACCTGATGCACAATCAAAACTTACGTTTCTGGCTGCCAACTCTCCGCTCAACTTCTAGGATCCAGCTACTGTCTTTATCAGAAATTTTAATTTTAGACATGTTTGCATATTACTGTAGTCATACTGGGAAAAGAGAGTATTTCTGTAACTGTCTGCAAAGCAGGTCTCCTGATGACCATACTGGTACCTGGTCAGACTAAATAATGGAGGAAGCCCGACGTTGTGGTTTAGCCCCAGCCAGCAGCTCAGCACCACGCAGCCGCTCGCTCACTCCCCCTGCCCCAGTGGGATGGGGGAGAGAATTGGAGGAGTAAGAGTGAGAAACACTCCTGGGTTGAGAGAAGAACAGTTTAATCATTGAAATAAAGTAAAATAGTATGATAATAATAACAATATAATCATGATAATAATAACATATAATAATATCCAAAGCAAGTGATGCACAATGCAATTGCTCACCACCCGCCGACCAATACCCAGACAGTTCCCGAGCAGCGATCGCTGCCCCCCAGCCAACCCCTCCCAGTTTCTATACTGAGCATGACGCTGTATGGTATGGAATAGCCCTTTGGGCAGTTTGGATCAACTATTGTGGCTGTGCCCCCTCCCAGTTTCTTGTGCCCCTGGCAGAGCATGGGAAGCTGAAAAGTCCTTGACTGGCATCAGCAGTACTTAGCAACAACTAAACCATCAGTGTGTTATCAACATTCTTCTCCTACTAAATCCAAAACACAGCACTGTGCCTGCTACTAGGAAGAAAATTAACTCTATCCCAGCCAGAACCAGGACACCCGAGATGGGTTTATTTCCCCTTCGTCTCCAAATCCACACCAAAGAATGACATTGCAAAGCTTTCAGATAGGTCTAGTTTCTGATCTGCCTGCAACACTGACACGTGTGGGCCATAGACTACCAAGCCCAACTGTCCCTACCCTCTTATAGCAGCAAGAAAAATGAGCTGGTTAACAAGTGTTCGCAGGACAACTCTGAAGAAGCTTTGGGCTGTATCCAGAAGGTGCTAGTGGACAGGATTTCACTTAGCTGGTTGTAGTCCAAAGCTATAATGCCACATTAACTTAGTGCTGTTCATGATACATCAACTATCCAGCCTGTGGTCAGCAACTGCCTGCACCTCGTGGGATCGCAGCACAGGTGGAGAAACAGGAAAAATATGTATCCGTTTTATTATTTGCAAATGCCTTTTCTCTTTTGTCCTAGCTTTCTTCTCCTCCCATGGCATTTTGTAAAAATGGACGTTGGATCCAATCCCATGGAATTGCTTTCATGTACAATTTTTAAAGTATTTTTTATGTATCAGATTTCCAGCTAGTTTTTAAAGCATGCTGAAAGCAAGCAGTGTCTTGGGTGTACCAGTAGACTCACACCTCTGTGGATCCCTTCAGCACAGCTCCTGTTTAGCCACTGCTGAGCTACCTGCAGCGCGTGCCAATTTCTTTTGGCTGGGTGGACAGCAAACCCGAGTCCAGAGAGATTTCCAAGTGCCTACTGTGGGAAGAACACCGAATTAGCTGCCCAGCTTTGCAAGTTGAAATATATTGCTATATATATGTCCAGATATATCTAAAATGTAATGTATGCATACGTATACACACACACAGAGTCATGTTGCCCAGAGGCATTAAGACAGATGCCGTCCTATTTCACATTGGGTCCGTACTGGCTGTGAGAAGGTGCAGAAGGCTTACGCTCACGTACAGGTTTTGTCTAACACACCGCAGGGCGTACAGCTTCTGCGTCTCCGACACGAAGGCCTGGAACAGATGTGGCTGCTGTTGCAGGGTCACATCACACCAGCATCTTTTAAGCAGAGTTCCCACTGATGATGGTGGGGTAACAAATGAGAAAACATTACAGCCAACAGACTCTGTTCCGCAGCAGCGGGAAACACAGGCGCTGGCTGCTCCCTAATGCTCTTCAGATATTTCTATGCAAAAAGACATTCAGTGATTAGGCTCAAACTCCATTGGTACTTTCATGCTGTATTCATTTTTACTGTAAGTTGGAGAAGTAGTTATACTCATTAAAATAATGATCACTTCGTGACTGATTCTTCCTTACTCTAAAATACCTTCAGCTTCTAAGTTATTTGTACAAGTTGACAGAGTATAGAGCACATACTGCTGTTTAAGATTCACACTTACGTAAATTCACAGCAAATTAAATGCAGCCTTTCATCTCACGTGCAATACATTACTCCTGGAAAATATGTATTTATTCTACAGTGTGTTTTTCTCTGACACAAATCAGAGAAAGTGCTTAGCGATCTTGTCTCAAATTCTCC